TCACTTGTTTTACACATTTGTGACAAAAACACAGTGGGGGAATGGATGGTAACGTATTCCTTTAAAATATATTAAAAGGGGAACGGACTGAAACATATTTAATGCACCTTCTCCATTCATTTAATGTTTCTGTTCACTTTGCAGGTAACATAGAGTTAAAGACTTCTAAAAAGCAAGGCGGTGCACCAATTGAGCAGCTGGAAACGTGAAAAGCAGAGAATCAAGAGTTCTCATTGGCTGAAAACAGAAGCAAAACATGGGAAGGTCTGCAAACAACGGCTAATCATCACCAAACCCTGTTCCATTCAGCAATTCACGCAAGCTTCCATACTCTGCTGCCACCGTCCCGTCCCCTCATTCAAGCAACTAGCTCCAAGGGAATTACAGTCTTGCCATTCCTCTTGCAGCTATAAATAGGACCTCCCTTACACAAAAATATCATCGGATTCTGGAGGGATTAAAGTCCAGAAGGAAGAAGATCACCTAGTAGTAGTAGTAGTTAGTAACTTAGTTTAATTTTCAGTTGTAATTATAGTTAAGCGACAACCCCTCTTCCCTTCTCTGTAAACAACCATCAAGACTCCTCACGAGCAAATACCCATATTTCTCCATTTTTTGTTTCTTTTTGTAAACTGTCTTTTAAATTAATATAAATGTTTTTCTCTTTGTTCCAATCTTTATCTCTTGAGTCAATCTCGGGTCTATGTGATCTCAGTTGAGAATAATTATGTTTAAACTATCAGCGATGAGCTGAACTATCTGTGGAACAGGTAAACTGTGAAACTCTTAAAGAACTGTTTTCAAAACTCTTGACCGAAGCATTTTGTATTTCTTTGGCTAAACAAGCTATATTCATTGTGCGCCAATGGAAATTGGGTACATACTGAGAAAGGAACTTCCATAAGTAAGGGATTTCAGACAGCTTAGCCATTGGGGAAAGGTAGATGTCATGGCAAAAATGCTACTGGTCACCTTAGGAATAAGGGGCCAACTCGTCCATTTTAAGGTTCTGAACTAAGTACCTGTTGGAGTCAAGGGAGCCATAGGAATATGGAAACTTGTGAGCCATCTAGACCATGAGCTAAGGAATCAGAGTTGGCAGGCAAAGAAACTGGGACAAAGCCAAAAGGTTCTAAGTCTTGAGCAGAGAAAACAACCCCTTAAAGAGTGAAGCAGTGAATCCGTTCCTTCTGTTAAACTGTTTTAACCACCACCCTGTTGTCTCTTGATTATAGTTATTTCTGTTTTAGTAGTTTTATTTTATTTCATTTAGTACTTATAAAAACTCCAATGATTGTTATCTCACCTTCTTCTAAACTGGAAGGATCACATACATAACGCAGCGAGCAACTGTTTGCCATCAGGTTGAACCTACTGTTCCTGAGGAACGTTGTCAAGACAGTAGGGAACATTTGACCAGACAGTTCATTTACTAACTTTTCTTCTCATTTTTACTCTTTATAAACAGTGATAAAACAATAATTAGCACTCTATCCTCGTGGGAACGATAATTTGGGCATTAATACTTCCTTTATTACTTGATGCGTGCACTTGCGCACTTGAGTTGGAACTAAGGGGCGAATTTGTGTTCTGCAAGAACAGAGGAACGTCCCCTATCAGAACTTATATTTTTCCACCATCAGCAAACCACCCAACAAGTTTTTGGCGCCGTTGCCGGGGAGAGAAACACTAACTGTTGTTCTTATCATTGTTTTCTAACACATACTGTATATCTGACTTTACTTTTATATTTTTTTTTCTCTTTATCACTGAATATGTTGTGCGTATATATATACTCTGTGATATTGGTTTATGAGTGAAAAGTTTGAAACACACTCTAACCACTCCATTGAAGTACCCCAGTTTCTCTTTGATCCTGAGCCAGAACGCACACTCCATAGGAGAAGAAGGAACCTCAGGGAAAGATTTCCTGAAAACATGGCTGATCACAATAATAACAATGAAGAGGTTCCCCCTGAACAGAACTTCAGAACATTGGCTGCTTCTTTTAGGAACAGACCAGACAGGGGAGTAATCCTCCCTCCTATAGCACCCAATTTTGAACTAAAACCTATCATGTTTCACATGATTTGGGAAGCAGGGGTCTTCAATGGACTCCCTGCAGAAGATCCTCACACACACCTCACAACATTCCAAGATATTTGTGATAATTTTAAAGCTGAGGGTGTAACAGAAGAGAGCATGAGAATGAGGTTGTTCCCTCACTCCTTGGGCTTAAAAACAAAAACATGGATGAAAACTCTCACCCCTGGGTCAATCCACACATGGGAAGAACTCTCTAACAAGTTCATAGAGAGGTTTCTCCCAATGTGTCGACAAGCAGATGTTAGAGCAGAAATCTCTAACTTCAGAATGTTTTATGGAGAAAATCTCTATGAAGCATGGAAGAGATATAAGGACATCATAAGAAAATGCCCAAACCATGGGGTAGAGAGTTGGGGAGTGTTACAATCTTTCTATAAAGGACTTGACCATTCTTCTCAATCTCACCTAGATTTTGCTGCAGGAGGATATTTTTTTTACAGGAACACTTGAATCAAGATATGAAATCATAGAAGGGACTGCTGAAAGATGTCTCCAATGGCTAATAGATAGAGTGAGCCCAGTAAGGAAGCCATGCATGCTAGAACTGGATAAACAAACAGCCATGGAAGCCCAACTGGCATCACTCATGAATGAAGTGAAGAACCTAAAAGCCGACCAAGAAGCACCAAGGATGGAAGTCTTACAACTCACAGCAACTGAAACAGAACCATGCTCAACCTGTGGTGACCTTCATGACTCAACAGACTGCCCATCCACTGAATTGGTGTGTTATGCAAAAATTTTTGGCAATAGGAACTTCACCAGAGACAATCAGCAAGCAGAACGAAATACACATTCAAGCCCTGGAGGAACTATCATTAAGGATCAGAACCACAACACCCAATGGAGGCCACCCATTAACCAGAGACCATTCAACAATAATCAGCAGCAGTATCAGCAAGGTAGCAGCAGTGGAACGTCTGAACAAAGAAGAAACAACTACGTTCCGTTCCACAGAGATGACCAACACATCAACACCCTAGAAAAATATGTCAAGGAATATGTCACCAGGAATGATGCAGTGTTCAGGAACATTGAGTCCCATCTGGGACAGATTGCTGCCAACCTTCAAACCAGAACACCAGGATCACTACCAGGGGACACTGAGGTCCCCTCAACCATTTCTGAAACACCTTGACAGGTAAGTACCATGTCTAGCTAAAGACATTAAACTAAGCGCTGACTGGGAGGCAACCCAGTAGATACATTTGCTCTCTAACAAAGAGCAAAGTTTTGGGTTGGTTATCCATAACCACAAAGCTCCCAAAAAGGAGGGAACGTCTGATGTTCCTCTCCAAAAAGTCCAAATAAAGTACGTTCCGTTCCAAGAACGTAGTTTTGGGGTTGTCCCTGACCACACAATCCCAATATAAAATATATATATATATATATATATATATATACATACATATAGATATAATTAAATGTTTTGTTACATGTTCATTTAGATTTATTAAATAATAGGTGATAGGTTAGTACATCCCCTTTTCCTTACTTAGTACTCACTATTGCATGTTTTCTTATTATTTATTTCAGTTAGTTATTTATTTATTAGTTAGGAAAAGACAAAGGGAACGTTCCCTGGGTTAGGAGATAAGAGTGACTGGGACACCTGTCCCTGCTGAGTCACTTAAAAAGATACGCAATCATATCCAATTTGCACTCATTGCAATTCTTGGAAACGCGCGCAGAAAAAACAACCGTCTCCTCAACCATTAAGACAACTGCACCCTTTCCTTTTCCCTCTCTCCCACGTCTCGACCTAAACTGTTCCATCTTCTCACACTCATCCCATCAGTAACTGGTCTCCTACTGCTGACCACTCGTTCTGTAACGTCCCCATTCCACTATCTTTTCAACCTCCTCTCCTTAACCTCCACGTCCCAGAAACCTTTCATTTTCTCCCCCACAGTATATTTAAACTCGGTCTCTGATTTCTTCAAGTTCTACTACTTCCATTCAACTCAGAACCCTTTTATCCCTCCTGCATTTGTGCCCTAACTCCCTTTCTGAACAAAATGACTAAGCTTTCATTTAAAGTGACCCATGTAGCCAATCGCGGCGAAGAACCAGAGCTCACTGAACCCATCATCATTCTGTACCCAGAAAGGAACATTTCTCTGCATCAGGACAAAGTGGTTCTGCCTCCATTTGTGAAGAAATCACTGGACAAACTTCGGTGGTTGCTTTTCTCCACTGATGACCGTGAGTTAAACTTGAACTGGGTGGGGGAATTCCTATACCAGACAAGGAGTGTAACACCCTCCCTTGTATGCATCCAAGAGAGTTGTTTGCTAAGCGGATTAGAGTTCTTTAATCATATTTTAGAGACTGAAAATCACTTTTACAATGCCAATTAAAAACTTATAATTGAAATCGGGTTCGTCACAAAAATCAGAGTATACTTTCAAAATTTCTCAACTACTGAAAATATAACTTTCCTGACAGACCTTGCTGTCTTTAAAAATTCTTATAAAATTCACTTCAACGATTCAAAAAAATATTCTTTGTAATCTAGAAACTAGACATCCGGGGCTTCGCGTTCATATAAAATAATAGTAATTTGAAGGTCGTTTGCCCCTCGAAACATAACTCGTAAGGCGAGAGTTAAAATCAGTGAATTTATATCAAACGACCTGACTTGCAAAAATCATAATAAATCGAGATTTCATAATTTCGTTGAAAGGCTTATATATAATGAAACTAGACAGATGGGGCTACGCGTGCATATAAATTATAAGAAAATCAGAGGTCTGTAGCCCCGGGACGCCAACCTACAAAATGCTCGCACAAACAGTTTTAACTTAGCTTTCAAAACGTCATGAATCAGTTTTAAAAAAAAATGGTTCTGAAATCCGTTTCAAAACACTTGCTGTTCTTAAAAGTCTTAAAACAGAATGCAAACATAGTTCACTAATAATTTAAACATCCACAATTAGTACAGTCATCCATGAAAATAATACAATCACAGCAGCATGCCCAATAGAAGAAACCAACAGCAAATATCCAAGTCCTCAAAAGCTTTTACGTCCTCCTGCCATTTTATAAAAATAGCAGCCCCAAAGGGGTGAGAAAAATCCCAGTAGTGTGGAAACAAAACCAATAATGCAACAGTATTAAACTAGGCACAAAATTATAAACATTCGCTTCAAACATGAAATCCTTTTCATCATATAACCTTTTCATCATATACCCTTTTCATCATATATCATATTGCGTATATAACGCCTTCATCACGCTCATAGCACCGTCGTGCGCGTGCATACACAGTGGGAATTCCATACAACGGCACCCTCATTTATTGAATCCCACTGTGACCTATGCGGACGGATGCCAAGTGTCCCATACCCTGGTACCGAGGGATGCCTATATGATGCGTGCTCAATCACATGATCTTGTAGATAACTATTCTAAGAATCAAGACTAACATGAATTTGGTACATGCATGCCATGCTATGCTGTCACACACAAACAGAAAGACAAGTGCGGTATGATGTACGGTGCATGCATATATCATCATTTCATAACATATACTTCATGTACATTGGATGCCATACTGCCAAGCCATTCTTTCTTTTCATAACAGAATTTCCATATTCATAACATTTCCATAGGCAGAATAATTTCATCATTTATGGCAGAATAATCATAAGGCACATGTGAGCAATAATTCACAATTCATACACTAGTCAATAGTCACATCAGGTAATACCGCCTAACACATACCTCGAGTCTTTAACATTTTATTTTATCAAAGCATCACCAATCAGCCCACACTTTTAGAAGTTAGCACACCTAAACATTGGGTACCAACATTCAGAATTCACATCTACTATTCTAATAAAATGCATGTACTTTCCGGGCTTTCAATACAAGACTTCTAACCAATTTACCATGCATACCTATTATTTAATTTTCTGTTTTAACTTTAGTTTTGCCAAAGATTAACAATTAACATTAATATAAATCCCTAAGCATTTAATTCGGTTGTCTTTACCATTAATTAGGTGTCTGATGAACCCTTAGTTCATCAGGTTTTTAAGCATGAATTAATATCAATTTGTGTGATTAAATAGATGGAAAAGAGGTTAATGTCCTGGAAATCTCTCAAATACAAGTTCTGAAGCTTATGTTGAAAATTTACATTGTTTTTGTAGGGAAATGAAGCTCAAGAAGCAAAAGAAAGAAGGAAGAAGATTCTGAAGAATGAGAAAATTCTAAGTGTTGGGCGCTAAAACGCCCAAAACTGAGCGTTTTAGCGCCCTGTTGCACAAAAGATGCTGGTGCTGAACATTAAAACGCCCAAAACTGAGCGTTTTAGCGCCTGAACATTAAAACGCCCAAAACTGAGCGTTTTAGTGCCCAAGACAGTTAAAAGCAGTTGGGCATCCGTCAAGGTTGAGCACTAAAACGTCCAGAAATGAGAGTTTTCGCGCCCATGTCAGTTTTCAGTTGTAATTTGTAAATTATAAAAGGACAAGGGGTCTTCACATTCTGACAGATTCAAAATATCAAATCCAATCCTATAATCCTCTCATTCTGACTTTTCTCATCACACTAGGAGAAGGGAGATCAGATCAGGTCTTTCATAGATCTGATCTGACTCCTCATTTTCTCTGAATTTCCAAATTCTTTGGATTAGTTCTTGTAATAGTTAGTATTTCCTATGTAATTGCACTTGGAGATTGAAGACTCAACTATCATGTCAATGGAGTTTGATCTTTCTTCTCTTGTTTGTATTTCAATTATGTCTTAGGAGAGTCCTTTGTAGTCTGATTCAATGGAACTCAAGTTTGAATTTATGAATGGTTAATTAGATGTTTTGTTTATCTATTATATGATTGTATGAAGTTGTCTTGATTAATTCTTCATGTTGAGGAATAGTGTAGAACAGGCATGTTTACATTATTTCTCTATTTTTGACAACTTCATCATCAGTGTTCTAGTAATCAAGGGATTGATGCTAGGATTCTGATGTGATGTTAAGACCTTAGTAATTAATGCATGTATTAAGAAAGGAATCACCAAGGGATTGGGGTTTCTGATTAATGTGTCTATCAGGGTAGTAAGGGATTACATCTTGAGATGATAAGAAAAAGGTTGATCAACATCACATAGTAGATAATTCATAATGGAAATTGGTTCATCTATAAATTCATGTTTGAGGGAAAATGACATCTGACTACTTGTTTACATTATAATTTACATTTTATTTATTTATCAAGTTTTAATTCAATTCAGTGTAGTTTCTGGTGACAAGAAATCTATGCAATCTATGAACTTTTGTTTGATTCAACTCAAGTACATATGGTTAGTCAGTGCTTGACACAAATCCTCGTGGGAACGATCTTTACTCATCATTTTATTACTTGTACGACTAGTGCACTTGCTAGATTGCAACAGTGTCTTTGGTTTTCCATTCACATAACATCTCTACATAAATTAGGAAGGGTAATACAAGAGCTGTCCAAATAGTTCTAACACATGCAAAGCTTGATTCAACCGGATTTCATGACTTTTATGCTAATTTTATTTATTTATTTTTTTGTAAATACTTTTATGCTAATTTAATTTTTCTAACATGGGGATTGTTCCACCAATAGACAGCGAGGAGAATAATCAAAATCCACAATTCCTAATATACACAAATTCGGTTTTATTCATTACTAGATGCTTCTGAATTTATCGATTAACAAAATATACTATCAATTGCTAGCTAGTGACAACAAAATTCCAAGGCCTATGCATGAAGGTTCGGTTTTTGCCAGCAACTTGGTGGACAATTTAATTTATTTACATAACGTTTCCTACAAGGCTTATGTGTGAGTGAACAAGTCTCTAGCAAGCTGTTTATAAAGAGCAAAAACCAAAAGGATGGAATAAAAATTACAAACAGAATTTCTTGAGCACGAGGCTGCTTTACCATGAAGATCAATTTCTGACTTCCTATTTAATTTAATAATTAGTTAACGACGACGAAATCCAAATCTCCTACAAGTTCGGTTTCTTAGCATAACTAGGTGCTCATGATAAATCCAGCTACATAACCGGTTCTGCTAGGCCATAGGTGCGCTAAGGGTCTTTAATATTCTGTCCAATTAATTATTACCACATGTAATTAGGTTCATGAAGTAGTTCAAGAAAACAGTCCCATAAAATTAGCGAAAGCTATTCCCATGCTCACCAGTCAATTTTTTGTGCTAGCTTGCATTATGTCCAATGTTGTTCGCATGAGCAGAGTCAAGGGAAAATGACAAAACAAAAGAAACTTTCTTCCTAGAATATCTATGCATACCAAAACAGGGACGGTGAAAGGAGGGTTTGAGCAAGAAAACAGAAAATGCATTTTCATTATACACATGCAGTGGCTGAACCGGACAGGGAGGAAAGGGTAAAACCAACATAAAAAATATATATATATCTCTCTCTTACAAGCAGGTGGGGATCGAAACAGAAGGAGAAAGAAGACTTGGAACTCCAATTACCTTCTAGGCTGCATCCAAGGGTTATCTATGCGTGTGGAGGGCAGTACCTCACTCTCCACTTTTCCAAGGAGTTGAAACCAGTTGCATGCAAAGGGCAGCGACTCACTCAAGGGAAAACAATGCTCCAGAAAAAGGGGAAAACTTAATCAAAACCCGTCCAAGTATGAACGAACAAAAGGCAACGAAAAATCATCTCACCTCCTTGATTATAGATACACAACCGAACAGGGAAATAGGAGCAGCATGTGCTTGAAAGCTTTGGTCATCCTTCAAGGGTGCTCACGGTGTTGGGGAAAAATGGACAGAAGAAAATGTACCATCCATCTTGATGTTCCTCTTCTACGAGCTCACGGATTTGGTGCAGATTTTTGGAAGGAATTTAACATGCAGTCCATTATTCTTTCTTGATATGGTTCACGGCTGGACAAGAGGGACAAGAATTTTATTTAAGCTTCATGCTCCTTACTTTCAGCATGCAAGGCCGAACAAGGGTGAAGAGGGTACTCTCCTTCTAGGCTGTCACACGACTTGAAGAGATGGGTGAAGATGTCATCATAGCTCACGCTGGTGAGGAAGAGCTAGCTATGTGTAGTTTTGAGTTAAGAATCACCACTATGATTTCTTTGTGTAATCCTTGTTAGGCACATGGAACACAAAAGAGTAAAGTGGGGTTGAGTTCTGTTTTCTAATGAAAGTCTACATATTCAGCTGATTGGTCCCCATGTTGTGGCGCATGGAGAATGGGATGAAGGAAATTAAGACTGGTGTGGCTAGGAACTCAAGAGCAAGTGATCAGCTTGCTTGGTTTCACCTAATGCGCACGGCAAGGAAGAATAACGGTGGCTAGCGATTGGACATGTGTCTCCACTCGACCAATGAAGCTCACACATGCAGATTTCACTTTGATCTTTAATGGATTAGATAATGCTTGAGGATAAGAGATTTTGGGCTGATGGATGTTTCCACCCAAGGTAATTGGGTCGTAACGCCTAGGGCTAGATGGGTTCCACATTAACTTTCTATTAATTTACTTCTTATGTACCCTACTCATTTATTACTTCACATATCTTCTAGGTGTCATTAGGCCTTCTATAAGTTACCAATAAATTATTCCTATTCTTTTAACAAGAGTTTCAATCGCCTAAATTAAATGCTCACCCATAATTATAGTTCAAATAATTCCCTAATTTAAATCAATTCCACCCTACGAAATATTTATATAATTCGAAGACCAGTACTCTAACGCATTCTTAATTACCATTTTTCATAGACTCCTAATAATTATTATTTCATGTAGGGTTCACTTATCCCATAAAATATATATATTAATTATTAATTCATGTTTCCACTAGGTAGTAATTGAAATTCTTACCTATATTATAATTAATTGTAATCTCCCCTCTTTGCTAGTGTTATGAATCTTTTAAAATATTCATATATGCTCGCTTATGATAAACACAAAATAATTTTCCTACTTCACTTAGTTCCACTCTACACAAATTAAATTCGAAACTTAAATCATGTTCCACACCCCTATTTGCAAGTTATGTAATTTTCCTAATTTTGCGGGATGTTACAAGGAGGCTGCCCGAAGAGGAGGCACCTGATGTGGTCACAGTGAGGGGAAAACAAGTATCATTTTCCCCCGCTGATGTCCAAAAAGTACTCCACCTTCCATCCGTCACCAACTGTCCATACCAGGAGTATTTGGATAGTAGGGAGGTGAACAAATTTCAGAAGGATCTGAAGCAGACAGTAGCCCTGGACAATCCCAACTACTACAAAGGGTCCCTCTGCAAGGGGAGCATGAAGGACATAGCCAGGTTCTGGGCATTGTTTGCCAACTCCAACATCACCCCCACCTCTCATGAAGCCTCTGCTAGCTGGGGACTTCAAGTTCAAATTTACTGTATCATTAAGCACATCCCTTTTGATGCAGTAACCCTCATCTACAACAGCTTGCAGAGGGACATAAGGAAGACTACGGTCTTCCTTCCCTGCCTCATCACCAAACTCTGCAGGAGAGCTGGTGTAGAGGAACACCCAGAGGACACCACGAAGGTGGCATCTATCCTGGATGCTAAGACCTGGAACGGTCTTAAAAGCACCTACATTGACACCACCCAACCTATCCCTTCCAATCTTAGACGTTCCCCTACCAGAGATAGTGAGGAGGAAACACCTGTGGCCTAACTGAAAAAGACCACCAAGACCACTCCTACAAAATCCTCCTCCTCTGGCCACGTTCCAGCCAGAAGAACCATCCCTCCTCCTACCAAGGTGAAGAAGGATGCCCCTGTTGCTACTGATGGCAAACAAGGCAAGAAGAAATCTCCTGCCAAACCTCCCCCAAGAAAGGGGGAACGTTCAAGTCAGAGGATAAAGAGGGTCCTCAACAGCAACAGGACAGAAGGAGCATCGTCTGCAAAGCCTATTACCCTCTCTGACAATGAGGAGGAGAGTGAAGACAATGAGCCTTTGGCAAAAAGGCTGAAAGCTAGCAGAATGTCAGCACCAAAACCAACTGCAAAGGAGACGTCCCCAAGCAGCTCAGACTCTACATTTTCTGACATTCCATCCCCACCACCTGCTCACTCTCCACCACAACAAATCACCCCACAACCCTCTCCTAGGAAACAACAAAGAGAGGGACAGAAATACAAAGAAGCAGCATCTGCTGCAGAGACATCAGTGGCTGAGCAAGAGGCTCAGCCACAGAAGAAAAATGACAAAGGAAAGGGGATTATCATAGAACCCCCTAAAAAGAAGGCAAAGCCATCTGTCCCCAGGAAAATTAGTCTGGGAGGCCCTCTTCTGTACCCTATCAATCGTCCTGACACCACTGGGGATGAAGCTCTAGCTAGAGCTCTGGTAGAGGAATAAGGGATGGCAGTTCCTCCACTGATGGGGAACATATTGAAGCAATACCCTCATCATCCAGACTACCAGAGGATGAGCCCAGGCAAGCACCTGAAGCACCTTTGACTGCTGGCAGCAGCCAACAGCAAAACCAGCAGCCGTCCTCCTCCCTTGCTACAACAATCCCTCTCCCAGCTAGAAAGAAATCACAAATTGGGATTGCTGAGATTTTTGAGATGATGGGGAAGAAAATAGAAAAGTTGTTGCCAGCAAGGCAATCCGTTCCCCAACCTGATATGACAAGCACCAATGAAGAGCTGAAAGCTCTAAAGGACGGAATGAACCAACTCTCTTCATCCTTCAACCAATTCCAGGAACAGCAGAAGGAGGAGAGAGAACAACAGATCAGCACCATAAAAGTAGCCATCAAGGAAGCCAGTGCTGCATCCTATAAATCAACACTCCAAGCAGTCCAAGGAGAAATTGCTAAAGCAGCTAACTCCCTAATCCTTTCCAACTCTGCGCAACCACACAACAGAGCTCTTACTCAACAAGCTCGTCTCCAAACAAGCTGAAGAACGTAAGGAAACCAAAGAAGCCATCAAGGCCTTTGGAACGTACCTGGAGAGGAGGATTTATGAGTTGGAAATGAGACTGCTGGATGTTGAAAAACAAGTCATCCATTTTCGTACTGGCAGAACCATGATGAGATCCACCATCAACTCCCTGGTCGTAATCATCAGCGATCTACTGAAGGATCCTGAGAAATGGCTCCCTGTAAATGAAGTCCGCAGATTGCAAGATATGCTCAGGAGGAGACCATTGACACAGGAGGAGATTGATGAAGCCAAGGAAGCTGAAGCTGCAAAAAGGAACCCTTGGGACAGGAGACCTCCACAATGAAAAGGAGAAACCCTCATATTTATCTTAGCTTAGTTTGTTTTCAATTCTGTTTTTAATTTGTTTTCTGTCCGTTTCCTTTGTAATTAATCTTTTTGCAATGAAAAAGACTGTTTTTTTTATCAAACTGTTTGGTATATGCATGCATTTCAGTTATAGTATTAAGACTGCTCCAATTCTTTTGGATTAACTAACATACATGAAACACAAAGTTACTGACTAATCATGCTTGTTCTTTCTCTGAGTACTTGAAAATAGAAACAGTGCAGGGAATTTAATCCTCAGATTTTTGAAAGAAGCTGATCTGTGTGAACTCAAACTGGTAAGGAACGGAAAAATGCCAAACACCTACTTCTGAGAGCGTTCCTGAGGTGTAACCACAATGAAACTTCTCAGCTTGCCTTGATGCTGTAAGTACTGCTGAAGACAGATGAATTCTGCTGTCAAAGATCAAAACAGAACCACACACTCACCGCACCCCCATCATACACCATCTAGTCAATCAGAAAGAACAAGGAACGTACTCAACAATGAAACAAAAATGGACAGAAGAAAAACAAAGAAAAAGGGAAACAACCATTCAAAAGAATTCAAGAAAAACCACAAAACCTTCCTCCAAAAGGGGAAAAAGGTTCAAGAAAAGGTGTTCCCTCAAAATAGAAAAAGTCCAAGTTCAAAGGCACAAAAGCTAAACATTCCTTGATCCCACAAATCAGGCCACCACTTCTTCCACAGTTCCATACACTTACCCATCAAAGAAATCCTTGGAACGGAAGACAGCTGTACTTCATAGGAATACAGCAGAAAGGCAAGTTCTGAAGAATCACATCCAGGAATGGATAGAGCAAACACCAACCCATGAGTGACAGTGAGACAAGAGATCAGCAACCTTCTCTTATATGGGGACATAATACTCTTACTGTTTACTATGAAGAGTAGTTCATTTTCTGAAAAGTTCATGATTGCTCACTGGCTCAAGTTCCTTTCTGTTATGCTATTCTTTTAAATTGGGCAGACCAATACAATATTTCTGAGTTGTTTGAGAATAACCAGCAGTTTAGTTTTGGGGTGTTTGATGGGACATAAATTCGTTCCCATCTAAGCCCATTTTGATGGAAAAATACCATACGTTCCCTCATCTGATGAGCAACTTCAGCATAAAAATCACTTGTTTTACACATTTGTGACAAAAACACAGTGGGGGAACAGATGGTAACATATTCCTTTAAAATATATTAAAAGGGGAACGGACTGAGACACATTTAATGCACCTGCTCCATTCATTTAATGCTTCTGTACACTTTGCAGGTAACGTAGAGTTAAAGACTTCTAAAAAGCAAGGCGGTGCACCAACTGAGCAGCTGGAAACGTGAAGAGCAGAGAATCAAGAGTTCTCATTGGCTGAAAACAGAAGCAAAACATGGGAAGGTCTGCAAACAACGGCTAATCATCACCAAACCCTGTTCCATTCAGCAATTCACGCAAGCTTCCATACTCTGCTGCCACCGTCCCGTCCCCTCATTCAAGCAACTATCTCCAAGGGAATTACAGTCTTGCCATTCCTCTTCCAGCTATAAATAGGACCTCCCTCACACAAAAACATCATCGGATTCTGGAGGGATTAAAGTCCAGAAGGAAGAAGATCACCTAGTAGTAGTAGTAGTAGTTAGTAATTAGTTTAATTTTCAGTTGTAATTATAGTTAAGCGACAACCCCTCTTCCCTTCTTTGTATACAACCATCAAGACTCCTCACGAGCAAATACCCATATTTCTCCATTTTCTGTTTCTTTTTTAAACTGTCTTTTAAATTAATATAAGTGTTTTTCTCTTCGTTCCAATCGTTATCTCTTGACTGAATCTCGGGTCTACGTGATCTCAGTTGAGAATAATTATGTTTAAACTATCAGCCATGAGCTGAACTATCTGTGGAACAGGTAAACTGTGAAACTCTTAAAGAACTGTTTTCAAAACTCTTTACCGAAGCATTTTGTATTTCTTTGGCTAAACAAGCTATATTCATTGTGCGCC